CTACCTAGGTTATAGGCCATGGGGCCACTGCAGGCCATCTTATCTAATCTAATTAATCCACGCTGGCATTGATAATCGATGTGTCTATGAGTTAATCTCTCTATCAGTGTACGAAACGAACGCTAGAAATTTAGCGATTATCAAAGCCAGCAAGGATTGACAACTGTTAACCAGTCGGGGCGGGATTAACAGGACAGGCGGCGTCAGCTAGCATTGTTGACTCCGCCTTCGTCAATCAATCGATTTCGAGTCGCAGGAGTGGGATATCCTCTATGGTTGCGGACTCCGCGTCTTGTGCAGTACAGGGTTTTTTCACCTTGGTTGATCGCGGACGCTGCCTTTAATATGGCTTGGCAAAAGAAACTAGCGATAGTGCAGATCATCCCCACCCCACCTGAGCCAAACAGTGCCCAAATTCCCTTGCTATTTCTCAACAACAGAAAAGAGACAATGATATAGCATTTATAACGTACATTAGTAAAATTACCCGTTCATCAAATTTCGGCACTGGATTATGAAAGAACGATGGCATTGCAACTGAATTGAGTAACAATGAATCAAAAGCAATAACTAAGGATGTAGCCGAAAAATCGCTAGCAATCGATAGTTTGTACATAGTTGGCTGAATTAGATCAATATTCTAGACAGTTACTCATTACGCACGAAGTGTGCTTTCTGCTAAAATGAGTTATCAGTTAAAAGGTCCACTTCTCGTTGCGGATCAAAAGGGCAAACTATCTCTGAACGTCCTAGAGCAGCAATCGGAGTGACCTTCGTGTGAGTTTCCGTAAGGCCAGCTCAGATCGCGTTCGCAGAAAAGGAAGCTTTCATCTTGAAGCCAAAGCGCATAGACTGTCATGCTACGACGTCACTTATTAGGGGCTCTTTTTTGAACCCATTTCACGTAAACGTCGTTATATTCGGATGAGTGGTGTCGCATCAGATGTCGCATGAAGTTCGACGAACACGGACTTTTCACCACACCAGTACATATACCACACTGTGCATTACCATCGGCGGTTCGCTTGAAGTATTCCCAGACCGGGTGTTCCGTTTTTCTGGAACATTTATTTGGTTATAAAAATTTGAAGGAATTCTTTATGTGCTATCTACAACTCAAAGATAAACTGTACACTCGCCTCTGCGGACGGTTCTTGCTATGTTTGAGATGAATGAAAAGCCGAAGCAGCGCACCTTTCAGAAATGCACGGAAGTGGTATCTAGGAGCCGTCTCCATACTCCGGCCGCGGTGGTGAACTACAGCTACACGCCTAACCGTAATAAAACGCGCTGGTCGTCTGCGCCCCCTCACTTCTAATTGTTCCCCACCGCTGCGTGTGTGTTTCGATGCGGTATCTGGTATCGACGTGAGTGCTGCACATTGACTATTATACGAGCGTAATCGGGAGACGGCACCCGGACATCACCACCCTTCAGCTCTGTTTCCATGCGCTTGAGAGCGGAAAAAGTGGCACATTACTGTATCTACGGACCCACTCACCACGCATATGAAAACGACTGTCCTTGGAGGTGAGTGTACAGCTTGTCTTTCAAGCACATTTCATGCTCGTCGCACGGCCCAATGTGAACCTGATGTTGTGTGTGCGCCTCACTTATGTCTGTCCTTTTACCGGAACAGAAGGACATCTCAGTGGGGTGGGGAGAGGTCACAATGGTGGGTTCCGCTCGGACCACAGGTGGAGCGTGAACTGAAACTTCGAAAACCTCCTTGTCAAGCAGTCCCGATTACAAGGTGATTTGACATAGCTGTACATAAAGAACACCTTATGAAAAGACCAGCCGGCGGGGACGGCTGGTCTTTTCTTCTGAGATACAAAACGGCTCCGGCTATTTTATTTATTTTTTCAAAACGGCTATTTTCAACACTATTATGGTATAGAATGGTAAAAAGGAGCGTTGATCAAGTGGACAGATGAGAGAAAAGCCGGGTATTAGTCGAGCATTTGATCATACGAATGCAGGCAGGCGCGATGGACCACGCCCCGCAAAGCCGGGCCGTATCACAGAGGAGGCCTGGAGTGCTCTGGAACCGCTTGAAGAAACCTTAGGGCTGGCCATGCCCACCTCGACGCACGTTCCACCCACAACGGGTATGCCTCACAACTGTGAACCGGTGACCCCTCGATGACCTACTTTTTCCCGGTGTCTGGAGCATTCAGGAACCGTTTCCAGGAATTTTTGAATTGGCCCTGCCCATCTCGCCGCGCGCTCCACCCACAACGGGTATGCCTCACACTTGTGAACCGATGACCCCTCGCTGATCTCAAACTACTTTTTCCCGGTGTCTGGAGTGCTCTGGAAGCGTTTTACGGATTTTTCAGACTGGCTCCGCCCACCTCGGCGCACGTTCCGCCCACAATGCGAGTGCCTCGCAAATTCCTGCGTGTGATCAGTCGGGAGCTCATAATCCACTTTTTCTGCCATCTGTAGTGCTTTAGGACCAAACTACGGTTTTTTATACTGGTACCTCGTGTTCAAATGCACGCCCCGCCCACTGTGGGCCGGCCTCAGCATGCCGCAAACATGGTGGACTCTTGCCAGATGTTCATCTTCGTCATGTACTTTTCTGCGATCTCTAAAGCATTTTCGGGAACCGAGTTTTATGGAAAGCGCCGCCTATCCCAAGTACGCCCCGCCCATTTTGGTGTGTCTCCTCCATTTGCTCTGCCAACCCCATGCTAACCTTATCCCAGTTTTTCCCGTCTCCGGGCTGCTTTGTAGCCAAGTTATAGCTATTTTCAGTGACACGGGAAGCGCCGCCCATCTCAAGTACGCCCCGCCCATCTCGGGTGTTTCTTCTCTGTTTCTTCGGTCAGCCCTGTGCTAACTTTACTGCGCCGTTCCCTCATCTGGGGACTGCCCTGGAACCGAGTTATGATCTTTTTCAGTGACATCGCTAACTTTCGACGCACGCCCCGCCCACTGTGGGCGGGGCTTACCATGGGTCATGGGTGCTATTTAGGTTTTGTCCCATGCTCTATCCATCCCCACCATGACCCCTCCAAGTTCTTCTTCAGGTGCTATGAATTTCGTGACAAACAGACACACACACACACACACACACACACACACACACACGCACGGACAAAGCCGATTATATAGAGTAGGATAAGTGTGAATCACCGCTGAATGTCATTTCAAATCGTACTTTTCAGCGTTTGAAACGTCCTTCAGCGGATCTTTGGCTTTATAGGGTCCAACGAAGGCTATGTAGCTGAAGCGTAGGCCGATTAAAGTTGCTCTGGTATCTTGGCCGTGGTTTCACAAACATCAAAAAGAAGACCTCACGCAATGCGAAGTTTCATGGAAAGTCGATCGTCGACGCTCATGAAGTATACTCTTATACCTGAGACGGAGTAGGCGCGGCTTCGAACATGGCACAGAACTGGTTACTCGTGGGATATTTCAATTTGAGACAACCGCCATCTTGTTCTTTGTTGGACAGAGACGTGACCACATTTGGGTCAAAATGAAAATATCTCTCCAAAAGCATAGCCACCATAGCCACCACGGCGTTTAGTAGAAGTACGCAGCCACTCTACCTCATCTCAGGGATTTCAAGTGTATGTACTAACCAGTTGCAATTGTGGCCGAAAACGAAGCATCGAAGAATAGCAGTACACTGGATTGGGTGGCTATCTAGTCCAAGAAATCCTTCCGTGGAAATGGTAGGAATTTGTTGGTGGTGTGGTAGTCCGCTTTTCATCGGAGCTTCTACTGGAACTGCTGATTTCCGCAAGTTGAAATGAACGCGGACGCTGGAGTGATTGTGACAGGTCTCCGTGATGGGCCGACCCATGAATACCCATGTCATCCTGTCATATCTTGTGGTCTTGTCGCTGCCGGGTGTACTTCGCAATGGTGCTACGACGCCAATCCCAGTCAATCATTTAGTCAGGAGTAATGGCGTCAACCAGAAGACCGCGTCCTGCGGAGCAGTACAGGCGCTGAAGGAGAACAGTAAGGAATTTTGTTCACAAGTATGATATCCTTCTGACACGTGAGTCTAGGACTTTGCGCGGAAAGAATATTCCATTCAGGGTTCCTTTATCAGGCAATAATGATCCCTTCCCAGTTGGTCCCCACGAGTTTTCCTTGGAAGTCGTCGTAGAAGGACTCCGTCTAATGCCAGTCCGCGAAAAGAAAACAAAGGTGGGGGACCGAAGGCCTGACGCCTGAATCGCGCATGTCATATTTTGTGGTGCTGCCAGGTGTACTTCGCAATGGTGCTACGACGCCAATCCCAGTCAATCATTTAGTCAGGAGTAATGGCGTCAACCAGAAGACCGCGTACTGCGGAGCAGTACAGGCGCTGAAGGAGAACAGTAAGGAATTTTGTTAACAAGTATGATATCCTTCTCGACAACGTGAGTCTAGGGACTAAATATAGCGGGCGGGGAAAGGAAGATTCCCGTTCAATGCGTTCCTTAGCAAGGAATTATAATATCCTCCCAGTTGAGTTTCCACCGAGTTTTCCTTGATAGTGGCTAGAAGTCTCGTAATCTGTCAGAAGACAAAGAGACCGACCACTTCCGAAAGTGCAAAAGAACGGTAGCGGGAGTGAAAAAGAAGAAACTTCAGGGATTGTTCTACTACAATAATTGCCATTTAACCCTGCAGTTCGCGCTCCGGAAGTTATCACAAGAATGCTGAGTTATGGAGTCACCACGTTAAACGTGTGGGTGCTGCGAAGCTACAGCATAAAAGCCAGCGTCAAGCCGAGAGGGCAAGAATTGCTCTGATAGAGTAATGGACAGCGCACTCGCCCCAAAAGCGCGAGGTGCGGGTTCGCGTCCCGCTCAGGCAGCGTTCAGACTTCGCGACGGCAGCGCTTCGGTCGCGCGTTCGACGCGATCGATGCAGTCGAAAGCATGCGCATCGATCGCGTCGAACGCGCGACCGAAGCGCTGCCGTCGCGAAGTCTGAACGCTACCTTAGGGTCAGACTTTTGCCCATAGTTTGTCACCTTTGAGCGGACAGATTTTTCCGCACCGATTTCTTTCCATGAAAAATTCAAGGCTAATATTCAGGGGAATATAAGCTTGACCACAACTAACTTCAGCGGAGTTGGTCTATTCCACCACTTTGAGTACACTCATTAAACGCTGTCGAGTTCATTTCAAGAGTATAATCGCTGATCAATCAAAACTTCTAGTTTTTAGGCTTAGACCTATTTTGAGAGGGAAACTTTTGTCATGTCGATGACCCGATGACTTCTCTATAATTTCGATCTCTATGAAGTTGAGGTTCATTAATGTGGCTTATTCATTGAAGCAGATGTACTATGCGGACCTATCGAGAAGACATACAAAGCTTGTATAGGTGCATAATCCCTACCTGTTCCGCTTCATATAGGGCTTTTCAGTGGCACCGGAAGTACCGGGAGCAGCTGCCGTCCAGCTAGTTGGTGGAGATGCCAGGCAGCCATGGAGTACTGAAAATCAAGGTGATGATATTCCGAGAAAGTTCAGTGTCGTAGTATATCTTTACTTTCTTTCGTTTATTCGTGAATCCAGAGGATCAGCTTGGTAAATAGCGTTTCTACCCTAGAGAAAAAGCAGGGGACGACTTCTATCTGACCGCAGGGCTCAGCACTTTGGAAAGAACATTTCCCTGTGAGATTGCTACCCAGAAGGCTTCTTGTGAAATATATTTGTCAGTGAACTCGCAAGAAAAAAGCATTTTGGATAGGTTTTGGGGTAGTTGGTAAGTCATCTGCGAGTAACTTGTTACTTGCTCACCATTTTCCAATAAATCGTGCCAATCAGTTACAAACCTCCTGTCATATCAATGCTGGAGGTAGTAGGATCATGGGTATTCGGCCATTGATTCCATTGATTTCTTTGCCATGTGATCGATGGATCCTTAAACGCGCTAGTTCAGACATCCATTCCAGCGTGGCGAAGCTTTAGACGTACTCAGAAAATTTTCAGTTGAAGTCAAAAGGCACATTCGGCAATTGTAGGCCGTGGGCGATGGAGTTCATATACAGTCACGATCCCTTGGCATCTGACCGGGCACTTGGAGCGCAACCAGATGAGATTTACTATCAGTTGCAGAGCAGCCAGGACGCCCTTTGGCTCAGAATGAGACTACTAGTGGAAAAAGGGCTCCTGGCTGCGTCCCAGTACGTGCCGTGTCACACTCTTTATCGTTTGAGGGGATCGTGACTGCATAATGCACAGGTGCTCAATGACTTACCAGAGAGGAAACCCCCGGCAACGTCTTGAGTGAGGCTCTCGTTTTGTGCTTGAGTTTGAGAACCAGAACGGGCATGTAAAGCGAGACGCAAGGAAACAATGTTGTGCCGGTGAGGTGCCACGGACGAAGAAAGAGCGTTAAAGACCGCAGACACCATGGCATTTGGCAACACTGATCATCTTAGGAGGGCTTTCCATCGAGGAGTGGATGGGGTTACTGCAGACTTCTGCGATCGAGGAGAGTAGCACCTTGTACAAAAAAGGGATCCACAGCAAATCATGTCTGTAAAAACTCCACGCTTTCCACACAGTTTATATTCATGGGCGTGGCCGGAACTAGTGCCTTGTTCAATGAGTGGGTCCAACTCCGCCCACATGGCGGATGGGAGACGTGCCATTTAGTAGTACAAGAAAACATACATGTCGATCGTATCCTGTACAGTTCCGCAGTACGTCTTCCCTCTCGAACTGAGAATATAATTGTTGCGCATAGTTTTCTGTCTTCACATATTGATTAGTGGATAGAATACACGACTGTTGGTGCGTTTCCGGAGACGAAACGCCACTAGAGACAGGTCCTTTTTGTTGTCTACAAGCAATCGACAGCGATTCCATGATTTTTGCTATCATTTAGAGTAAACTGACCTGTACTGTTTGATTTGTACAATGAGCTGCTGGTAGTCCTGTTGATGATGCCGCTCCAGATGTTTCGTCATATTTGTTGCGCAAGCCGATTTTACAACCTGAAATTATATCAAGTAAATCGAAAAAACAGCCGAGTGAAGAAGTGTAGGAGTTCTGCAATTTGTCACATGACGTTATCCTAGTAAGATGGGAAAGTAGGTGGAAGAGTTGGGGAGTGTTTCCTTTACAGCAAACTGTTGCGGAGCGACGCTTTGTTTCAAACTGTAGTTTTCATTTCTCGCTAACTAGTGTAATGACTCCACGCCAGATCAACGGTACTTTGAAGTTTTGAATGCCTTGGGTGCTGTGCACAGGAACGCCCTTTTATCTGGAGTACATGCCCACATTTTTGTAGTATACACATCTTGAGGGGTAGGAAGGTGGTGTAGTGACAAGTTGGGCGCGCTCACCATCGCGCGGTGCTGGCGTTCAAGCTCTGGCTCATCAGACCAACCATGCCTATATATCCTCGTGAAGCGTGATTTGTTACCCAGATTTGGCTAGGAGGATACGAACAGTGACTACATCGGCCGGCCCCCAAGTCATTGTATAGGCCACATCGCATTCAATAAGCCACTACGATTCTGAATGGAAGTAGAATGCGTGCCGCATCCCACAAAGGGATTGATCAACGGCGAAGAACTTATCCTTTTTTATTTCCTTACACACATTTTGAAGCTCTAGGAGTTCTCTACAGTTTCTGCCTACAGAGATATGTACACGTGAGTTGAAAAAAAAAACTCGAACAGCGCCAATCGACTGCGCCTTTTTGATAACTCTGTCAGATGTTCTAGATTGCCTATACAAGTAATGCAAATTAGAACCGCCGGGAAGAGCTCTCTTAGAAATAAAGTTAGTTGATTAAAGCGTTATCGCGACAGAATTCCGTAGAATGGTGCAAGGGAAGATGCCGCTACCACCTTGATATTGGATCCATTCACGAAATGTACAGGGCTGACGGAAAAACATAAGGAATGTGGAGCGTGAGTAAAAAAGTAGTAAAAGAAAAAATGGACAGCCAGGCAGTTCAAAGGGTCGAGTGGGACTTATACATGAGTACCGACGATGTGAGCCAAAAATGTCTCAGTACTGTAAGCCGACAGAACGGTGCGCACTTCACAGCATCAAAAAGTGTGAAGTCCTTTACCGCTCCTGTATAGGTTGTGACGCTTATGAGACAGAACCGGACCAACTCAGTGACACCCCTGAAGAATCCAACCAACAAGGTGCACCCTTTTTGGAATCCAAGGTTAACTCCCAAATATTCCGAGTGAGATCTTCACTTTCGCTTTCACGATAAGTCAGCGGGGATGCTGTTGGAACACCGTACACCCGGACCACTCGCCAGCGCCATTACGCATACCGTAACACGCTCAACACATAGTTAACTTTCACTTTCAGTTTTTTCATAAAAAATTTCCCAACGGAGTGCAGAGACAAGGCGATGGCGACAGCGGCGATGTCATTTTATAGGTCACCTGAACTGTTTCAGATAACACCCGAAGGTCGTGTCCTAATGAACGAAATCAACCAACCGACTGCGCTCGCTCGCGCTCGGTCATCATCGAACGAGCCGGTAAGTTCATCTAAACCACCACATCGAACCCAAAAAGACTGAAGGATGTTACACAGGGAAGGGGCGAGGGAATGGTAGTAAACTACCAACTTGAAACAAGACTTAACTAGACAACCGACAAAGAAGTGAAGAAAAGGTTGCATTTCGGACCCCCCCCCTCCCTTCTCTAAGTGGTGAAGAGAGAAAGTCTATAAAAGTGGTTCTATTCGCTTCTGAGGAATTTGGAAAGTAAAAGGAATAAATGGGAAATGTATCGCAGGGCTGTGAAAACGGATCTTACTCTGCCAACTGTTGACCAGATGAGTGTCAAATGCCCGGATTACTCATATGAGATCTCGAATCCGGGCCATAATTAGATGCACCAAGCTTCATGACGGGTGGCGAAAAGCAGGCGGAGACCAAAAATGATTACTAGAGTAATTGGCAGGAATGAATAAAGTGTTCGTTGAACACGGAGAATGACATTTTAAGTAGTTACTTCCAACTTTGTAGTTACTTCGTACCTCCTTGAAACCTCTGGAAGTTTATCATCTTTGTGGTTAAGGTCGGTGATAAATCAGAATCCTGAGGATCTCCGTCTGGCTTTAGTTCAGTCCAAATTCTTTGACCCACTGAGCTGCCCCCAAATATGTGGACCACCTTTTTCCTCTACACAACACCCACGTTTTCCCACATTTCAATCCCGAACAATGTAACTTGTGCAAATGGCTCCTTGGCCGATGCAGAGCCTGCTATTACTTTTACAAATTGAACCTCTATATCGGAGTCAATCTTCCCCTAGTATTTTATAGACAACGCGAGAATAACGCGGGTATGGAAGCGTCTTAAAGTCGCCATCATCATTAAAGCAATTAATCTTCAACAGTGTCGCCTTCGAAACGCCTCCGTTTATGACTCATGTGTTTCAAGAAAAAAAAGACATACTTTCTCTGATCTGGATATCTCGAGATAATGACACCATTTTCTACAAACCCGCTCACAGTTGGCCGTTGTTCTCAAAATTTTCGATCGCTTTTTTGGAAGCAATCGATTTCTCAAAGTCTAGAAAGTCCATACCCATCCCGAGCAATTCAGGCGATCGATAGGGTATGTTTTTGCCAGCGTTCCGATACCGTGCAAATCCCAATGACGCCGTAGCCGAGAGCTCCGGATTGGATAACGGAGGGCGCGGGTGCGGCGCTTCGTTCGCTACCCTCTTCTTTCTCTTCTCAGGCGCCTACAGTATGACCACGAGCGAGAGGGAGGGAGTCGACGCCAGAGGGTCTACCCGAAATTCGCAGATGGCCTCTAATGAAACAGAATACCTTGTTGCACAGACGACATCGAACATTCTGATCATCCAGACGAATGAAATATCCCCAGCAGGGATTTTCGGTGGGACGGCCTCGTTTCGCTGGAGCTGCTCCTCCATCACGGCCCGCTGTGTCGCAACGATCCTCATGCTCGAATTTCACTTCTTCTTCCTTGACCGTCGGACGATCTGGTTCCTGTAAAGGTTAAAGAAATCTACGCGATAAATATAGGGCAGTGAAAATGGCCTGAATTTTTTTTCCAAAGAGAGCGGTAAATTGACATATGAGAGAGCAAATTCATCACTAGTAGCAAAGTTCACCAATTATGAAGCAGCAGAAGGACTAAGGAAGCAGAAGGACTACAAGCTCCAAATAGAAAAAGAGTACTGCAGTGAAAGTAGTAAAATAGGGTAGGGCGATGGGCAAAGTTGAAAAAGAGAAGGAGGCATCAGTCCTTCTGAAAGATGGTACAAACAATCTCATAGATGTGGACGAACCGATTTTGCCTGCCGATAGGCCACGTCATTCCGACCTTATCCGGGTAGGTTTCTGGTCCCCAATTTTTCCCCGACTCACATTAATACCTGAAGGTTTCACAGCCGGTGGTTCTACTTCAAAACATAGCAAGTAAAGGTTGTTTCTAGATACGAGCTGCCATGAAACGAGGATGACCCAGCGAAGATGTGGGACTAATGCTAGGGCGATCACGAAGAATTCTGTGGAAATTGAAATGAAAGTCTGCCTGAGTCCAGGAATAAAGTACCGAGTGGTAAGTAAAAATTAGGCGAGTATAGGCAGTATGAGGGGTACCTCCTGGCAGGGCTTACAAATCTAATTTTAGTGTAAAGGGGGGGACACAATTGAGCCGCAAAGGGTAAAATGATAAAGTCTTCGCCGTTGATCAATCCCTTTGTGGGATGCGGCACGCATTCTACTTCCATTCAGAATCGTAGTGGCTTATTGAATGCGATGTGGCCTATACAATGACTTGCGGTGGCCAGCCGATGTACAAGTCAGTGTTTTATCCTCCCAGACGAATCTGGTACCAATTTACCGTCCCTGGAAAGTAGAGAAGCCTGGTTGCCATGAGTGAGAGCCAATCCAGGATTTAATCTCCGGACTGTGCGCGTGGTGAGGTGCCACTTGCCTTTACACCACCTCCGCCTAGTCACCAAATAGTTGAAATAAGGGGATAAAAGTAATAAAGTGGGTGAAGGAGACCAATTGATTTTTCGAATTATTCAAGGCGATAGAGGTGAGAAACGTATGAAAACGAAGGAGGCAAACTGACGGTAAAAAAAAGACGGAAATAGTCTGTGAAATGGCGATAACGAAAATACAAAAGAAATTCCTTAGAAAGGGCAAACAAAGACAGTGCCAAGAAAAACATCACTTGCTAACGGTCTCAACGAGAAAGTCACCAAAGAAATGTTCAACGACGAAATAAAAGCGCATTCCTCGCACAGTGAACCGTAGGTAAAGTAATGACACTAAAACTTTAATAGAACGTTTTATCGGCTTACTTTGTGATAGAGGCGCTGCTCCTCGTACTGTTTCGGTCGAATATCGCCGTAATCATACTTCAGAGGCTCATATTTCTGTGCCGTCGAGATGTCCTGATAATTAATACTAGCGATCTGAAATGACGAGAATTAGAGAAAAAAGAAGTGTCGAGAAGAGAAAATGTGACGATAATGACAGCAGTTTTACCTCGCTCTCATAGCTACCATTTTCAACAGGCCGAATATCATGATAGCTGGGAAATTGACACCATGAGTTGGTGATGTCGATATTACCCAAGGCTAATCCGGTCGGCAAGCTTACAGCTGAGCCGAGCGTTGTAGTAGTAGCAATTGGACCCATTTGCAGTGCTCCGGAGCCGATGCCGTTCATCGTCAACGCTCCGGCTGACGTCATCCCATATGGGTGGATCGCCACGGGACATGCCGGACCGTCTGCTTCGCCAGAGTTCATCACCGTGTGGAGCGAGACGTGTTGGTCGAGGAAGTCGCGCACCGCCCCTAATAGTGATCGCGCTGCCGCCCTCATCGTGTGTCGCGCGCACCCGCACATCGCTTGTTAATAGTCTGCTCACGAATTTGCTGCCGATCAAACGGATAGAACTGCTGAACATCTGTGGTTAGGGACTTTGATGGGATCCCTACTGCAGCTGGAAAGTATGGTGGTAACGCCGATAAGACCCTCGACCCTTATGTACTTCACTCTCCTTCCATAGCCGTTTTCAACGGGCGCAAGGATTTATCGCACCCAACCTTTTTCCATCTTCTGGGACTGCATTTTTCCGATTTATTCCTACTTGTCGTGAAATTCTGAGTGACATTTTCGAATGAGTAACATTCCTGCCTGTTCGGGATCGAACACATTATACTGCAGAATAGGGAAATGAACCTCACTTTCTTAGAAAGAAATGTGGGCCAAGTTCAGACGAGAAGAGAATCTTTTTCTTTATTAGACATCCAAAGTCGCACCACCTCAATAATTCACGTAGTAAACCAACTGTCACTTCTAAGGAGACGACAACGGACAAAAACATGTACTTGTTTTTCCTTTAAGGGCACATTTCGCGACTGGAAGTCGCAAGTAGTGGGGTTCAAAAAAGAACCGTGGGAGCATTTGTTCTGGCTTATTTATAATTGGAGAAGAAAGCAGAATCGTCTGCCCAATCCGCCCATTTATCCAGAACGGTACCGAAAGTCCACTTTGCCGAGCATCGTACGGCAAAGAGAGTTTGTGTTTGATGCCACTTGCTACCATTACGGTATCATTTTTGTTCCTCTACCACATCGCTTCGACCGTGAGGATGAGGACTACCTGTCGTGAGTCTCGCCTATACTTCAACGAACAATACTGTCTAGCACGGGTTGGTATGGGCCTCAAGGGCCTACCCAATGGGATGGCTTTCAGAACCGAGAAAACTTTGAATAGAGACGCTGGTATATCAGTACAGCCTTGAATGCTGATTGCGAGCAGTAGATTGAAAATTGTAAGGAAAGACAAGTTAAGAGCGGTTGAAATTAGCTGTAAATG